TCATGCATTTCCCCACATTAAAAAAATGCTACGGCATGCGTGATACCTTTGTAGTTACCACTCACGAAGTAGCCTTTTTGCGATACCGATATCGCAAGCTACGATGGCCGCTTACCTTCAGGCGGGCCTTGTTTGTTACCCTCTTAACATAAAAATCACGTACTGAGATATGCAATGAGTGGATAACACTTTCATTCTGTGATCGTGAAAGTTAAGCCATTTCAGTTTGGAAGATTGGAAGTACTTATTCCATTGTATGTCTCAGCAATAGACATTTATTAGTAATATTTGATGACTATGTCCGTAAGGAGTACAGAACATGGATACACCTGTACCTTTGCTATTCCTGTAGCAAGTTGCAAGTATGAAATTTGACATAAGTTCATGCCATATATCTTTTGCGTCATAGATTTCAATCGAGCAGATTGATAAACTTTAGTAAATTTTTTTTCCAAATCTAAACCTTATATGGTGTTCCTTTGAACATTTTAAATTGGTTAAAATTAGGAATCAGAACTCTATTGGCCAGATCGCTTACAATAGTTAAATTACAATTATTCATTGCTAAGTTGTGGAAAATTAGTCAGCTGACCTATTCTGTCTTTCGTTCCAGTCCAGCGTGATACATCATGAATGTCTTGATGTCTAATGAATATATTGTACTCAGAATCTTAATATTAAAAGCTTTAGTGATTGTACCAAAAACACCTACATCTAAATATCTAACGAATTTTCAGATTTTAAATAGGATACTTTCCTAAAAGCATCGTCGCATAAATCATCAAACTTATAGCGCAGAATAACTTTCTAAATCAAAATTATTAAAACGATCATGCCAAACAAAAGTGAAGTTAGGTACGAAAAAATATTATTTTTTATATATAACGATGAATGTTTTTGTAAAAGCTTATATTGTATATATTATAATTATTTTATCAGTTTCATTATTGACCTCGTGAACGTTGCTACGCAAAAATGACAATCTTACAAAAAAAACTTTAGAGCTTTTAACAATTATTTATACTCAGACTTTGGACCCGAAGCCTTCAATTATATCTACGACGATACTTATTATAGTGTATGTTAGTCACATTTGATGTGATGACCCACCGCCGAAGTGGTTCTATCTTCACACAAAGGTCGTGTCTTCATACAATTTCCGTACGGAAGTACTTATTTATGAAGATGTTATGAACACAGGTTTGTTATGAAATAATGCGTTGTTTTGTTATTATTAATTTATAATGACACGAGAACTGAGCTAAGCCTTAACCGAAACTGTTTTATAAATATAAATAACTGCTTTTGTTTATGTTTAGTAGGCAAATGACTCTACGCCAGCAGCCAGTACATTCTGTCAAAACAAAACTTAATTTTCACCGCGCAATCCGCGGAGGGATTTGAAATATTCAAATATATCAATCACACGCAGATTCCGCGATGAAAAGTGAATTTGTTCTTACAGAACAGAACGGCTGATGCTAAGCAGTGGTGAGGTCCAGAGGCGAAGATATGTGACAGATATAAATAGGTATTGTTATTATTACTGCTAAATTTACTTTGGCTTATAAAATCTTATAGAACATGACCAAACAAATACAATTTACCCCATCTAATGTGAGAATGGAAATCGACTTTGCGATAAATAATACGATGATTACAATAAACCTTTCAATTTACTAAATACGTGATTTGGTAGTCAACACTGCTTTAAAAGTTCTGTTGTAAATACATAATGATGAAGCTGATGTAAGGACATGTAATTGGCTCTATCTTGCTATTGTAAAATTTTTATTTGTTAAGATAAGCTGTTGGTCTTTCATGTTACCAAAATAAATAAATAATTGACTTTGCCGAATACAGAAACGTCACTCAATAGCTCAGAAGTTGATTCTGAGTACTGCTTCTCATGTAGAAAGGTCGAATAAACATTACAAAGAATTTCAATTGCCTTTAAAGTAGGGTACGAAACCTTTAAAAGGTCATGGTTAAGCATTATTTTTCAATATTATGATATCGTAGCAAAAGTAACTGAAATAAAGTTCAATCAATTTGAAATTACTAACTCTTGCGTTAAACAGACAAACATGTTATAAATAAAAACGTAATCGTGAATGCATTACTAATTATAATAGAGGCCCGCTCAGAGAAATCATTTACATTTAATGCTTGTCAAAGTGAAGTATTTTCTTATTCTATTGTTATCTCAAGAAAATGACAGCATCAGCTTTAATCAAACTTAAAAACTATTGACGTTTCAGAGTGCACCCGTTATTCTTCTGTTTTTTAGTTTTTCACGCGCATCACTAGGAATATTCCGACGACGCATTCCTGCAGAGGATGCGAAACGTCAATCTACTATATAAAAATAAGTCGGGTTTTCCTTCCTGACGCTATAACTCCAGAACGCACGAACCGATTTTGCATTCGTTGGAAAGGTCTCGGGCTCCGTGGGGTTTACAGCAAAGAAAATTCAGGAAAAATTATAAAAAAAAATCTTCTTTTAATCACCAAACGAAATGTTACATAAAAAGAAGCCATCTGGTGGCGAAACGGAGTTCGCCGGGTTTGCTAGTAAATTAATAAAATCAATGCATCTCGGGTAGCTTTGTAAGTATGACAACTTAAATTGAAAAAAGGCGTTCTTTTTCTTTCAAACTCGGCGAGTTTAAAATGTTTCAAGCGAATGACGCTACCAGCATTGAGTGGTCATTGAATGCCGTGAAGCAAACATAATTTGAGATACTACAATGTATCACGGTTGTAAAACCAGGATGTACGTACCTACTTAATACTTTTACGCTAGTGCAAAATATTACCCATTCGCTATGTCCACAAGTTACACTCTATTGCCGTCAACACGAGGAAAGTGGAATATCTGCAATGTCACACTAATTGTACCGAAAACTTGGTTGGCTCAAGTAAACACAAGTAAGCGCTTTCACGGCAAAACATGAGCCCTTTCAACAGCATGACATGGCGATGCAGAGTAGTACACTCAAATTACCTACCTATAAATGTCCAGTTGAAATGCAAAGATAAGATAAGCCTTTATCATCACGCTGCCAGTCTGAATCTGCTTTCCCTGTCTTAGCATCTCTACTTGTATCTCATCTACTACATAAAAACACAACACTACAAAATGTTTTTTTCAGATCCACCTGGTAAACGATCTTTACGTTGAAACCCTGTGAACTTCTGCAGGGTTTCAACCCAAAAACTCATTTTGATTAATATTCTTGTTTATTTATACGTTTTGACCATATTTGTTGTGATAAAGAAAACGAAAATGGTCATGTCCGGAATTTTGCTAAGTACTTGCTTACTTACTTATGACCGAACTTAAGATGCATTAGTTCGGCCAGTTGCACCGACCTCTGCCTATCACGAATTGACACGAATATTTAGCATCTGCTACTACAATATACGCCCATTGACTGATTGACATCTGCTTGATATTTGTATTTCCTCCTAATCCACCGTTTCTTTTGCTTAATACGACATTAAAATAAGTAGAATGTAATGATGAAACATTAATGATACTTTGCATTTTCGATTGGCCACTGTGTTTGTAATCACACTATGTGATTGCATTGCACTCGGTGCATTGTCATCAATTTAATAATTTTGTAATCATAATCATACGAATGATAATCAGGTGTCACCATACGGTGACACCTGATTATCATTTACAATAATGGCGCTATCTACTTTCCAATGGTAAGCAATTCTCACATGAAATGGAATGTGACAATTGATTACATTGAATTAATTTATCGTTTGCATTGTTTCGTATCGATTACCAGCTGATATCGATTTATTAAGAATTTAGGTACGTATCAACCATGTCTACGAATATTACCCTTAACGGAAGAAAAATGGTTTACTGAATATTTAAATGATGCGAATTCTAGAAATTAAACGATCTTTATTACTGTTATCCGATATTAACTCTCAATCTTCGTTCAGTCCGTTAAAATATGACAAGTAAATAATATACTCATTCTAAGTATTGTATGATTCAAATCCAAAGTTCCAGTATGTTTGAATACTTCTAGAGTCCAACGAAAGTAGGCATTTGAAGTTAAAGAGAACTAGTGCTGCATTAAAGTTTGTACCTACTCTATGCCAAGGAGGTGCTAATCGAGGCTCGCACGCGTCGGCTTCAGCCCAGTTAGGGCCACTTACCCTGTTTGTTCTAAACGTTACATTTTACCCGCAACGTCCTCTTCCGGCCGATCATTGGAAATTTTATCCCTTTTTTGTGACCGCTGCTACCTCGTTATGTCAACAACGTTAAAAACTTCTCAGTAGTTTCATTAAAGTTCATAATGAATAAGGCAAATTCTAGAGAATTCGAATTCATTCGAAGATATTTTTAAGCTCTCTCTGTATTTGTTTCTTAGGTTTTCACGCACATATCTCTGTATTTTGTTATTTCTTATTAAAGAACAAACGCCTACTCACAATATACTACATATTTTAAAATAAGAATTAAGGGTATCAAAAGGTGATTAAAACTATTATTAAACAAAAGTAGTTTTGCAGCCTTTTCAGGTCTGCTGCATCGTCAGAAAGTTCGTGCATTAACCCGTTCAAACTAATTTTATTTAATGAGTGATGTGTGTGAAACCTATGAAACAAATAAAACTATTATTACTTATTTCCTCTTATATCTACACCTAAATTATATTTGCGGTATTATGAGGACTCCAATTCGTGGAATGTTGAGCTTCCTGTAGAAGCCAAGCTGGCAGGACTGATCCCATTCCATATCACCGAAATTGTCGAAAATGGCACGCCGTAATAATTTGCGTTATATTCTACAGAATTTGAAATACGTTGACTGATTACTTGACAACTATTATATTTGATTAGTGCCATTTGCCATAAATAAAAACTAGAAATTATATTCTTCTCAGCGCTTGTGGTAGATAGTTTCTTAAATTTCAAATGGTAGTGTCAAAATCAACAGCAGGTAATTCAAAGAAAACAATAAAATGCGAGTTAATATTTAATTTCATAATTTTTCTTAGCAATTATACGATTTCATCCAGCGTCTGAAAACTTATAATTAGACACGATAATACAGTGTCAAACTATTTTACAAATTTATTATGTATTTTAAGCGCATATTTTTTGTATCTATAAATGTTTTTACATGGCATTAATTTATTTGGAATGTTCCGGGGACACAAAGTATAATATTTCATTAAAACTGGAATATTGTAGGAATGTAAAACACAATAAATAACGTATATTTTATACATGATGGAAACAAAATTTGCTATTTGACAGCAATTAATAGGTTACAATCTCTACGTAATAAATAAATAAAACGATTTAATTTAATAATAATCCTGAAGTTTTATCTATCAATAACAGAAGACATCTCTTTTACTTAACCTTCAGTTTAAAAAACGGGATTTTACAAACAGATATCAAACTAAATCAGTTATTTTCTTAAATGTTAAACTTTGTTTATCTACTCGTAGTTTACAGACATTAACTTAACATTCTAGTTACAATGCGAACACAAGTCATACACTGCCACCTCTATGGCACAGATCTCGTTAAATAAACATGAATAAAATAAGTGTGCAAGAAGAAGTATTTACGTTTTCAAATGATTTTATGGATAAAGACGAGGAATAAGATGGCATCTTGTTATGAAGTAGCTAGGCATCACACTAAAATGTAAAGAGATTCAATGACCTATCACTCTCATACGAAATCTTAAAATAATATATACAAAACTCTCAAAACCATACAAACAATTTAAAAAAAAACTGGAATTATTAATAAAAACCGTTTTCAGTACGTGAAGATAAAGAAATCTAGGTTATATCAACTGTGGCTAATCACAAGAGAGCGGTTGGTCGGATAGATTAAATACCCATAATTAAATATAATTAAATTTTTAATACAACTTTACAACTAACATCTACGTTTACATATTTTCTGATTATTTTTTTTCGATAAATAAGTAAACACAATTATTATTTGTTTTTATTATATTTACAAGCATAACACGATCCGTACTTAATTTAACAGTAAAGCGTTTTAAATAATAACACACTGAGAATTGACGTAAAGGCATTTGCTACACTTATGGCAAGCCAGCCGGAGCGATCGGCTCTCGATACTGCCATAGATGAAGTTACTGACGAGACCGCGGGCAAACACCACAATCCAGCGGTGGTCTATCGGCCGACTCGTGACCGGCGGGACTACTATTTGCTCATTCTACAGAAAATCTTTTTCTTTTTAAGAGCACGAGTGCGACCGCAGACGAGAGCAAACGAGCGCCACGATGTTGCATGAGCTTAAGGAATTTCACAACTCCGGACCGCGTCGCCCCGGTCCAACCTTTTTCTCTCATTCAAATGTTTGCTCGCCCGCTCCAGCTACCATTCATGCGGCGTTCGAGACGCCGCGGCCACCGCCGAGCTAACCTAACGCTATCCAGTCGTCGTCGCTGTAATAATACTGCGATAGTTGACTAATACTCTGTCCACTCACATTGTCAACAGCTGGCAACGGAACGCGCGAAGCGTTGAAGCGTGAAGCTGCTAATTTTGGGGGAGGAGAGGTGGTATCTACGTTCCGTCGCAATTCCTCCGCCTCTGATACCTGCCGTGGTGGTGGCGGACGCCGTGGCAAGGTTGTTTGATGGCATTCGGGTTAGGCGCACGCAGTCTACGCTGCGGACGCCTCAAGTCGCCTGCGAGGACAGTGTTGTGCCTGTTGATGTCGAAATCGTGGGCCACCTTTATAAACGAGAAGCACTTGTGAACATGCTTGGGCAGACGACTCTTGCCGCGTCGCAGCTGCATGCCGCGTTTGTTGAAACCTATGTAACGGTCTGCGTTCTTCGTCAGGTGGTATCTGTTGTATCCTTCCACAAACTCTTCTTTGAACAAGCAGTTGGGCTGTCTCTCCGCTTGGAATCGCGTCTGTTAACAAGATAACAAATATCTGTACATATTCACAAAATCTTTCCTTAATTTTAAAAACAATCCAACTCTAAATACAAAGTAGAAAATTTTTGAGGTATCAGGATCAATAATTTATTTGGAATGGATGCTATTGATAATTTTGAGGATGAACTGGTGTCTTACCAATCGCCTGCCGACCAGCCGCGACCGGTTGAAGCATAGGTACATGTCCTGCATCGGAGAGTGGATGAGTAGTTCGAGGCTGAACCCGCGTGTGCTGATGGTGAGATTCGCTGTAACAAAGAAACGAAAATGTTTCTATAGACCAGAAAACAAGGGTCAAAGCTTCAGTAAAGTTAAGAAAATGGAAGATGTAGTGGAACTAATAATAAACAAAGAAACAAAAATGTTTCAAAATACCAGAAAACAAGGGTCGAAGCTTCACTAAAGTTAATAAAACGGAATATTTGGTGGAACAAATAATAAAGGATATTAAATCCTAAAAAGTTAACCGACGAAGTATTGAGAGGCTCGAATCCGTGTTAGAAATATCAAAAAATAACGTGTGTATTTAGAAAATACGCAATTGTGACGTAAACAAAGAGGACAAAGGGTTCACAAACAATAGAAGTCCAATAGACTAACAATAGTAAAAATCCAACACTGATAACGTGATGAATAAAATATTAGCGCTCACTTACTATACAAACCACAGTCGAGTATCGAATTCGACCATTATTTATAATAAGCATAGATAATGGCAATAGTTACAAAAACAAGTCAAAATAATGCATTGTTCGACCAATCATCCAACACTAATGTATTGGTTACGAATATTGTATTAATTCGTATTCAATATTCATTTGTCTACTTAATATTTGAGGAGCTTTATGGCGCAGTGGGTGAATCTTTCGGACTGAAATTGTGAAATTTAAGCAACTTTCCCAGTGGTTTGTCGTGGTTAACCGATCAAAAATTTTTTATCTACAACTTTTGGTCCCGTCTACATCTGCCCATCTGCTTTGGCCCGCGTGACGTTTAACGGCGTAACGCCATAGATAAGTGACCATTTTTATATTCGGAATATAAAGTTAAAAAATAAACAAGGTGTACAAATAAGTTTTGGCCGTTTTAGGATAGATGATGCTGCACAAGGCTAGGTTAAAATTACCTAATGAAAATTGGCATAAGGTTAGTTTGATAATTTAGTAACAACATATCCGTAACTTAATGTTAACTTCATATCTGTATAATTTTTTTTCGTTAGAAAAAGTCAAAATTATTGCCAAATAATCACTAGCGGGAACTTTGAATTATATCTTTAATTTAAAAAAATCTTAAGCTGAGGCGCATCATTAGCTTGCATAAAATGAGGCTGCTTTGAGTGAAAAAACTTGTCGCGAGTGATTTCAATAATTAAAAATCGGTGATTTTGGCGTAAAATACAAATATCGTAGTAGAAGGGCAAAGTAGTTAGCTAGCCCTTCCTCATCGTTTGAAGTCGTTAGAGTTAATTTTAATTATGTATCTCTACCTCTACATATTAATGCTCGTCCGCATGTTGTTATTCCGGTCAAACACTTTTTGAAACATCTTAATTGGGAAGTGTTTCCAGACCCGCCGTATTCAGCTGATCTTGCGACATCTGCCTATCATTTATTCCAATCGATGGCAAATGGTTTTTCCGAGCACCGCTTTACATTATATGAAGATAGAAAAAAAAGTTTTGTGGAAGCAGAACCTTCAAATGATGAAGAGGTCTCCAGATTTGGTATTTGGATGCTGCCTGAGAGACGGGAAAAATTATTGGCTTGTGATGGACATTACTTTAAAAACATGCCATTTAAGTTTCGCAATAAATTCTTAATATTTACTGATAACGGCGGAAACTTATTTGTACACTTGTGTATTAAATAATATATTGCAACTCACAAGCTTGACACATCAAATGTTTAGTTAACATTTAACTTTCAAGTAATAGATTGATCATTAGTTTTTTAGTTTAGTTTTTTATTTTATTTTTTTAGTTAGCGTTAACGTTCGAGCGAAATAGAAATAGTCCAAACCCACTGATCTCCATTGTGTTTCTATCCACGGAGAAGATCAGCGCCCCATTGGGGGAAAACCTGTGTCTCTAAAAGGATGAGAATAATGATACTTTTTTTACTGAATCGACACCATATTGTCAAGTTGCAACGATAGTCAAAAACATTTTCATATTTAAAAAAAACAATGGATCATGATTGTTATTATTGAATTCCGATAAGTAAAAAATATTAAATATCTTTCTCCAACTTCGTGTTATAATGGAATTAATTAACTCATAAGAGAAAGTATGGATAAATATAATGTAAATATTCTAAGAATTCTCCAATAAGCATATGAAGAATGCATCGCCACGGGTATATGAATACTGAAGTAATGCCGACAAGGAGACACCTGATAAATTCAATTATTAATAGAGGCGAATGAGAAAGTATTCACTAATTTGTATGTTAGAGGGAGACAAACGTAAGATGCGACAAACTAAGCGTTAATGATATTTGAACACTAATAAAGTACAAAAGTAAAATGTCCATAAATATTAATCTACAGTTCGATGCCAGATATTTAATACTTAAATGTGAAGGATGGTTTACATGCACGCAGGTTCAAAATATATTTGACGATGAAGAAAATTTACATTTGAGCATTATAATGTAGACCTTAGCTATATATTCGATTTTTCGTAATATAATATTATATGTGAATGCAACGCCGTATATAATTATTTCGTTTCTTAACCAATTTGAGTATTAGTATAGAGATAGGTTGGATTTAAAAAAAAGCTATAACCATACCTTTCGTTGCAAAAATTAAAGCAAACCAAAGTTTATATTTTTTATTCAATTCTACTTTTACGGAGGTGAAATTACGGACACTAGGTTTAAAAGACTATTATTTCACAGCATGAGTACGTAATTGTCGCAATAAATTATTGAAATTATTTAAGAATTCAAAGTCACCCATTTGATTGTAATTCGCCTATAAACCGTGCTAAACTCATTTTGAATAAATACGTATTCCAGTTCTTATTTTGTATTGAATTGAGCGGCATGTAAGCCAATCTTTCTTATCAATAGGAAACATAAAAGTGGAAAGTTTGAATATGGAATCCGATGACCGAAAGCGATGGGACTCAAATAAAAAGAATTAATATGAACACGAGCGCTTTGTGTCACCACATCATCTCTATGCGATTGGGTTAAAGTCCAAATCCGGCTAAGGTTTCCCGAGTGGACATGTCATTTCAATTAACATTAGGTGAAATAAAAATGCTTCGGATCGAGTCTCTAACATTAGAAACATAAATTCGTTATAATTTCGAGATACGGAGTGAGAGTGCATGAAAGTGATAGAATTAGGTACCCATTCAAAGATAATGAGATAAGAACTTCAAGGGATTATCTTACAGACACTTTATTTAACTTTCTGATATGGATTTCCTTGCAGGTTTTATTTATAACAAGAGTACTTCAATATTCTAGAATAATGTATTAGTAGAAAACTTTAAACACACTTAAACATATTAAGCATGGAAGAAGACAATTACCCAATCTAAAGAAAACGTGACGTTCTTTGGAAAATGTATATAAGTGATATTGATAAATATATCAATGTAATGTTGTTAGTGAAGTGTAATTTTTATACATAGTTAAAAAAGTTTATAAACGTAAAGTAAAAAAGTAAAGTAAATAAACCACAACTTAAATCTTTCCACTTTCAAAATTGTTGCCAAATACAACAATGACAACTTGATACAAGTAATCAAAACACTGCATACTTCATAACACATCAGAACTGGATAGAAATGTGTGAGTGTGAAGAAAGTTTTTCCAGGTTCGCGGTTACGTCAGATACTCAAGATTGGTTTCGAAACTGTCCACACATCACGCGAAGACTAATTTCGTAAAGACAACATGATCTTAGATGTTAGCGCAAACAGTTTCTCTTTGACAAAGCCGACAATTAACATTTTACTTTTGTTTGTTGATCTACTCTTAAAGGGCTTACGAATAAACATCACCAAAGCTATCAAAATGATTTTCACGAAAGCCAAAATGTACAGAGGAGAACTGACATTTACCCACCAAAAGTATCTTGTTAGTATATTTTTTCTCTGAATTATTAAAGCTCTTCTTAAATGAACTAAGTATAACATTCCGAAATTTAAAAATGCGACTATTAATTTATTACAAAAACAAAACAAAACAAATGTCACAATTTCCATAATATTGATATATTAACCGATCATAATTTCTTAAATTGATGCGCAAATACATGTTTTAGCAACCAGGCACTTAAACTTAGTGTGTGTTATATATAAATTTAGGTAATTTTTGTCGATTCATCCTTTGCATTATTATGTCAGATGGAAATTGAGTATTCGTTTAATTTTCATCGGTAGTTTGTGGAGTTGGTCATCAAATACATCATATGAATAAGAGTTTTCATTTGAACAAAACTATTTAAAAGATTAATTTAACATCACACTTGACTTGGTATTCGTAACATTAGAGCGTCATAATCATCAATAAAAAAGTTAATCGCATATTTCTTCGGTCTTAATTCCGAAAGATTCATTCTGTATATATACAAAAAATCGTAGACAATTTAGATATTATTTTAAGTAGCTGTGTGTCGTTTAAAACAAGATACAAACGCTTCTGGCTTCGTACGCACATTGTTAGTGCGAAGTGTAAACAGAGATCGTTTGTGAGTGACCAACCGAAGCGGGGTCATCGTCCGATTATCGCCACTGATAATGGCTGTATCGGCGTAATCTTACGTTACCTGAATTTTCATTGCAACGTTACATTGGTGTTCGTTTAATTTTCATCGGTAGTTTGTGGAGTTGGTCATCAAATACATCATATGAATAAGAGTTTTCATTTGAACAAAACTATTTAAAAGATTAATTTAACATCACACTTGACTTGGTATTCGTAACATTAGAGCGTCATAATCATCAATAAAAAAATTAATCGCATATTTCTTCGGTCTTAATTCCGAAAGATTCATTCTGTATATATACAAAAAATCGTAGACAATTTAGATATTATTTTAAGTAGCTGTGTGTCGTTTAAAACAAGATACAAACGCTTCTGGCTTCGTACGCACATTGTTAGTGCGAAGTGTAAACAGAGATCGTTTGTGAGTGACCAACCGAAGCGGGGTCATCGTCCGATTATCGCCACTGATAATGGCTGTATCGGCGTAATCTTACGTTACCTGAATTTTCATTGCAACGTTA